TTTAAGTTAAAACTTTTGTATATTTTTAGTATGGGACTGTCATTTCTACCTGAAGTAATTTATATGTGTTGTTATGGCTCTGTTGTAGGCAGGTAGAAAGATACCAATATGATATTTATTTATTTAAATATTGCATGAAAGCAAGGGATGGGGTCGAAGTGGGTTGCAAAACAACTTGCAGCAGTGCAGGAGATATGGGCAGGTTCAAACAGCTTAAATAGTGAACCCTATATATGATTAGCCAACTCGATTCACAGGCGAGGATCAGCTGAGAACATTAGCCAGTCTTTAACCTGCCAGCTCCTGAGTACAAAGTCTGTGCGATGTCAGATTGTGTTGATATGCAAAATGTGTATTTTCCATTTCTTAAGCTCCAGGTTTCACATTAGCTAAATTTGTGTTTACAAATCAGCTCCTGGGTCTTAGCTTTATGTGTGGTGACAAATACAACAGAATAGCCAGTAGAACAGCAAACCTTCAAAATAAAACACCAGAAAAAAAAAACAGACAATTAAAACCTTAACAAGAGACTAAAATGTAAAGTATTGCACTTGGCCTATCTGTGCTTTTGCAACTCCACTCATGTGTTTGTCCAAAGGTTTGTGTGCAGCTTCTTTTGTTATGTCATATGTTGCTCAAAATGTTATCTTGACAAAATAACAGGTTGTTAGTCTGCATGCCTGTGCTACCAGCAAACGTATGAAACACAGAAATTCCACCCTGCAGTAAAATGCAAACCTTTTGGCTCTGAAACACTAAAAAGTTTACATTAAGTCATTGAAGACTGTAATTTGTTGTAAAATGTGGCCACAGAATATTTGATTTCACTTTATATTCATTTGAAAACAAAAAGGGGAAAGCATCCATAAGAAATGTAAATTAGTACAGTTCATTTATTATGACTGTCATCTAAAAGCATGCTTTGTTTTTTCAGGTAAATGCATTTTTTCTGCTGTTTTTCGCAGCAGCCTTTTGCAGTACAAGTCAAAACAGAGTAAACATCAACACATAGCCTATGTGGGTTAGAGGGTCAAGGAATGGAACTGGAAAGAAAAACGAGCAGGAACAGAAACAGCAGAGCAGTACTGAACAAGACTAAAACACAAAACAAGTGAGAAGTACGGGTGTTTGCTTACAGCCTCCAGATAATCTCCGCTCCCCTCCGTCACCGTTCCATGACTCAAGTGTTCATCAGTAACACAGAGAACTTCCATTGATAAGAAGTGGAAGCTAATTGGCTGATCCTTCGACGCATCAGCACGCTGCAGTGGAGCTACGCTTCCGCCATTGGAGGACTGAAGATGAGTTTTTTTAGACTTACACAAAACGCTATGCACGCAATAATAGTGATAACAGTAAAAATAATATTGTTTTTTCAGGTACACGAAACCAGCAGATTCCCAAGCATTTGTTGTGTGTATTTAGTTATGAGTACTTACAACGACCCTAAACGTTTTTTAATGTCACAACAACACGTAAATGAGTCTTTTTCTCGTTACCCAACTCTGCTCAGATCTATGTTTTGTGTATGCAAAGTCAACTCTTTTAACATGGCCGAAAGGCGTTTCTTCCACCGACTTTTTACTTGTAAAATTTGTATTTATTGGCACGTAAATTACAATTGTTTGCCGATAGTGGTCGGCAAACAATTGTAATAATATCTGCCAGCTAATATACCGCTGGGTTTTTATATTAATGAAAAAATATATGTATTTTTAAAATTTTTCGCCCTGACTTACCAATGAATGCCTGCCAAAATATTTTAGTGGAGATACACTGGACGCCCACTTTAATATTCAGTCCCAGTGCATACAGATCTGTATCTATTTATATATGTTTTATGTTCAGAAATATGTTCAGAAATTTATGTTCAGAAACTCATTAACCTGTATGAATCTGCAGCACCCCCTCTGGCAAAGTGCAGTATTTTTGCAGATTTTATTCTAAAGAAGCTCAGCATCTCATTTTATGTACAGTGGGGCAAAAAAGTATTTAGTCAGCCACCGATTGTGCAAGTTCCCCCACCTAAAATGATGACAGAGGTCAGTAATTTGCACCAGAGGTACACTTCAACTGTGAGAGACAGAATGTGAAAAAAAAATCCATGAATCCACATGGTAGGATTTGTAAAGAATTTATTCGTAAATCAGGGTGGAAAATAAGTATTTGGTCAATAACAAAAATACAACTCAATACTTTGTAACATAACCTTTGTTGGCAATAACAGAGGTCAAACGTTTACTATAGGTCTTTACCAGGTTTGCACACACAGTAGCTGGTATTTTGGCCCATTCCTCCATGCAGATCTTCTCGAGAGCAGTGATGTTTTGGGGCTGTCGCCGAGCAACACGGACTTTCAACTCCCGCCACAGATTTTCTATGGGGTTGAGGTCTGGAGACTGGCTAGGCCACTCCAGGACTTTCAAATGCTTCTTACGGAGCCACTCCTTTGTTGCCCGGGCGGTGTGTTTTGGATCATTGTCATGTTGGAAGACCCAGCCTCGTTTCATCTTCAAAGTTCTCACTGATGGAAGGAGGTTTTGGCTCAAAATCTCACGATACATGGCCCCATTCATTCTGTCCTTAACACGGATCAGTCGTCCTGTCCCCTTGGCAGAAAAACAGCCCCATAGCATGATGTTTCCACCCCCATGCTTCACAGTAGGTATGGTGTTCTTGGGATGCAACTCAGTATTCTTTTTCCTCCAAACACGACGAGTTGAGTTTATACCAAAAAGTTCTACTTTGGTTTCATCTGACCACATGACATTCTCCCAATCCTCTGCTGTATCATCCATGTGCTCTCTGGCAAACTTCAGACGGGCCTGGACATGCACTGGCTTCAGCAGCGGAACACGTCTGGCACTGCGGGATTTGATTCCCTGCCGTTGTAGTGTGTTACTGATGGTGACCTTTGTTACTTTGGTCGCAGCTCTCTGCAGGTCATTCACCAGGTCCCCCCGTGTGGTTCTGGGATCTTTGCTCACCGTTCTCATGATCATTTTGACCCCACGGGATGAGATCTCATCCAGTCAGCTTGAAAAAAATTGTTTTTTTTTAAAATAAAAAACAACAAATAAATAAATAGTTACAGACTCTAATTGTAGCTTTCACCTTTAAACTAGCTATAGTTTATTAGCGTTTTTTTCTAACTACTTCATGCTTTTCATCTTTATTCTGTATAGATTGCAGTGTACCTTTCATTCGAGGTCAATAAAGAAATATCCAGAAAAAATCTCATCCAGTTTTAGTTTTATTTCTCTTTAGAAAAAAAAAACTCTTCACTTCAGTACATACACATTGCACAAGGCAGGGAGCCATTTTTTTAAACTGACTTTTTTAAAACCATTTTCCCCCCAAATCAGAGTTAAAAGCAGCAGCAGAACTGACGCTGACAACCAGCACTGGGATTCCCAAAACTTCCCAAATGCAGGCGAGCCAAGGTGAACAACCAGCACTGAAATCCAGCAGACAGAAAACAGGCAACCCCACCCCCCCACTGAGGCCACCAAAGAGCATCCAAACAAGCTTTGATTCAACAACTACATCTTTCATCGCCACCTAATGTTAAGTTGAACTTAGATTAAGAAATAACCTTGGTAAAGAAGTAAAATGGATTTGAATTCAATGGGGAAATGTATACAAACAAGTGGTAATAAATGTAAAATGTATATATATATATATCCAATTAGCAAATTTAACACAATTACATGTTAATGTCACAAAACTTAGTATCTAGTTAATCTAATCAGTCACAGCACAATTAGCCAACAGTTTTAAATTACAGCCCCAATAGAATTATTAGCAAAGGTAATAACTCTGTCTTGTCATGATGCATTTTCTGTCTGCATTGGGATTGTGAGTCGTGCTTGGGAAACCTGGCTCTGAACAGTTAAAACAACTTTATCAACGGACAGATTGCTGGTGTAGAATATATCATATTAATATTTACAAAATCTCTGTACAATCAAATAGACAATATCTGCCCCGCCAGTCAAGCATTCCAGAAAACAGTTAAAAGGCTGGATGTCTTCTCGTACCAGGATGTTCGACCAGATTAACAACCTCTGAGGAAATGTTAGGAAAATGGTGTGAAAGATATTAGACAAGCAAAAGGTCAGAGGAACATGTCATCACAGTGGCTTGTATTTAATATTAGGTTTCACTAACACTACAGAGCTCCAGGACATTTAAAATACTTTTCCCCCTCAAACATCCATCCAACATGATAGACTGGATTAGAAGAACACCTGGCACCATTCAAAAATAACTGTCACACACATCTGGAAAAAAAAGAAAAGAAAAAGAGCTTCTTCTGCTGCATAATTGGGTCTGAAACATCCTGATTACGAGCATCCACCTTGATTAGTGTTAACTAAATTAGCAGGACAGAAACTTCAGGAGGAGAAACTCACTCTCTGTCAAGATTCAAACAGGATTTCTCAGAAGGAAAAGCTAACAGGGTTGCATATCTTTTAGAGTAACATCAAGTCAAATCAACTCTGGTAGGTATTGAAGAAGAGACGTGGGGACAAAGATATCAACAGACGAGATACTGCATAGCTTGTTGGTTAGATTTCACTATGATGACATAAGATTTGCAGTTCAGTGGACACTGTAAGCCAGGGGTCCCCAATCCCAGTCCACGAGGGCCAGTGTCCCTGCAGGTTTTAGATGTGTCCTTGATCCATCACAGCTGATTTACATGGATAAATTACTTTCTCAACATGTCTTCAGTTCTCCAGAGGCCTGGTAATGAACTAATCATGTGATTCAGGTGTGTTGACCCAGGGTGAGATCTAAAACCTGCAGGGACACCGGCCCTCATAGACTGAGATTGGGGACTCCTGCTGTAGGCCAAGACTCTGTACAGTACATAGAAATACATACTGGTCTGAATACAGATGGTCCCTTCCTATGGGAAATAAAACACCAAAAAAGTGTTAGTGATGTTCAAACAGCAAACTCTAAATTCAGACTGCTGTGAAAGCAGACAGACACCCACACTGATCACTTATGATAACAGAAAAACCCACCACTTAGTAGTTCATTTCCTTAAAAGGACTTAATTCTTGTTTCACATTTTATCTACAGCATGATGCAGTTCCATAAACATTTTATCTGAAGAATTTAAAACCCAGCAAGTGTTCTCATTAGAAACAGTGAAGCTACAACAGTATGCAAGTACACCAGTTAGTTTCAACAATACTAAACGTATCTAAACTCAATATAATCCCATAATCCCACAACAGTCTATAACACCAGCTTCAAATTTCTGGAGTATGAAAATTATGTAATAGCTTGCAATTGTTAGTGGGGATATAGGGGTGAACAGTAAAATTAACAACATATCATTTATGTTCTACAGTGATTATGTATCATCTCAAAATGCTTCCCCTAACACCAAGTAAAAAGATACAACCACTGGTTTCCATAAAAAGATGTTCCCCTGTGCTGCGAAACAATGTTCTGCAGACAGTGGTGATATGTGTTCAAAAAGTAAAACTTTCAACGCTTTCCCACAGATTTCTGCACATTGACAGATTATGACGGCTGGAAGCAATTACACTGGTCTGTTGGGCCAACTGAAATCAATGGAAACATCAATAGAGAACAAAACAAAAACAAAAAACAGGCATTTTAGACATTTTGAAATCACACACACACAAAAAGATGCCAACTCACATTATCACTTCTTACTGGCCACAAAAAATAAGGATTAAAAACAAAAGACAGTCACAACCTCTACCAAAATAAAATAAAAAACAAAGGAAACCAAAGCTAGCACTGAAGGTTAATGTTGTTTATGTACCAAGATCCACTTGGGACTGCAGGTGGACACTTTGATATTCAGACTCTGAATGGGTATTAACTGCAATGAATCTTCTGTTACAGTACAAATGAAAAGGAGAAAAAAAAAAAAAGCAAGAGTAAAACTTAAAACTTGTAAAAATGAGGTGAAGTAGCAGGGAACTGAAGGACACAAACACGGTGCAACCAGGCTAACACATGTTAAAAGGCAAATGATTTGGTTTTTTAGATTAAATGAAGTGGTGGCACAAGTTATCAAACTCCAGCCTGATTTTAAAGCAGAGTGGCACCTGACAGATTGAGGTCACTAATTAACATCCAAACATCAGTTGGTACAAGGCAAAGGGGGAAAACAGAAAAAGAAAAACACACAGAGAAGAAAGCATAGCTTGTGTCACAGTTTGCAGTGTCATCACAGCTAAAAGAAAACATCAGGAAACCTTGATCATTTTTGAGGAAGCAATTGCAAAACGTCTCTTCACAATATTATGCCTCCATTATTTCACTACACTGTTACTCAAAACACTTGCATAAGTGACGGCATTTACATTGTTCAAGCCATTACAAAGCTTATAAAGCCTGTTAACCTTTCAGCAGAAATTGAATACAAACTTTTAATATGAATCACACTGGCTGGACTACAATGAGACAGATAACCCAAACCATTTGTCACAAAAAAAGTATAATTATCTATTTTGATTCTGTTCAATCACCAAATGGGAAACAATGATGTATTTTCAATTCACAAGAAAATCTTTTTAGATGTTATTGCACTATGGGTGTCAGTTTAAAATAAACGTTTCACAAAAAGTGGTCTATGATCCTACCCTCCTATGTGTTAAACACAAACAGATCAGCAAAGCAGCTTAAGGGTCAGGGTCAAAGTGTAGTCAGTGTGTATGTTAGATCAGCGGTCCCCAACCCCTGGGCCTCGGACCGGTACCGGTCTGTGAGTCGTTTGGTACCAGGCCGCGAGAGTTGAGGCTCAGGTGTGAAATGTATAGTTTTCAAGGGTTTTATCGGTTTTCAGCGTTATTTTGTTATCATTTACTCGGTTTTCCTTGGTCTTTTCACGTGTGTCATGAATAAATTTTCTTTTTTTCGGTACCGGCACTGGTTTTATTTTGTTGTATTTATCCGCGACACCTTAAAGGCCGGTCCATGAAAATATTGTCGGGCATAAACCGGTCCGTGGCGCAAAAAAGGTTGGGGACCGCTGTGTTAGATGGTGAAGTGGGGACAATATTTGTCAATAAAATGTTCAGAATACTTTAGTAGGCTACATTAAGCTAGATCCTTAGGATTTTACCCTTGTAATTTTAAGTTTATATCTGTGTTATTCAGGTACTGTAGGTAAGATTTTCACAAAAATCCGCAATACTGAACACAGCTGGAGGTGTGAGTGTTGATAAAAAGTCTAATGATTGAAGGCGAATTAAGCGACGACTAACTCGAAATTGCGTAAAGCGCATAGTTCCTATTTGGGAGAGTAAAGGCAGGTAGACAGTTACGCCTAATATAAAACAGTGGACAGTATTTCCTGCTTTGCCCAGCTTTATAGCTTAGCTGCTTTTATGATAAAAAGAAAGGCTGGAAAGGTTCAGGCTAGGAAGTGAAGATGGGTGGGACATAACAGCGTAATACACTTGTGGTCTGTTTCTCGAAAAACACTATACAATTCTTATAGCAAATGGAAAACTTACTAGTAGTGGGTCTCCCTACAACTGTTGTTTCTAAGCTTAGTAAATAACACAAACCTTTCCTGTGTCCATGCAAACATGCGCTCATGTTAACTAAGTTTCAGCATTCTCAAATAATCGCAGATCACGCTATGTTTCCTTTAAAAAATGGCAATGCTAAATTATTACATATTAAAGCTCTATGTGCCATTTTCAAGTATATGATAAATATACAAGTGTGTTATTTCAGCCCCGGTTACCTCAGTGCAGAAATCTGGACTGGCTCTCGGTTCAAAGGGTCTGAGTCTCTGATCCTATGGGTATTACCCTAAGTGTTAAAAATAGACTTGTTTATAGTGCTAGTGTCAATATAGACTTAGATCAGTGCAAACAGGCAGCAATAGCATACGAAGCCCATTCTCTGTTCAAAGTCTACCACATAATTGTGGCTAATACTCACCAATTATTTCAATTTAGACAATTTGGATTTAGGTATTTTCCAGGTTTTTATGGTTGTTTCACAGCAAGCATAAAGTACCTGTTTAAAATTCTTGGGAATGTTGGGCAACTCTTAAAATTCTGTAAGTGCTTGTTTTTAGAGATGAGTAATTGGGGTTTGGGGGAAAATACAATTAATGGTCCAAACCTAAAACAGCTACCAACAGTGTCGGCACCAGAATGGTAAACAGTCTAACATGTTGGGATGACTTTTAGCTGTCTCCCCCAAACTGACACTTTACCTTTGCATCATCAGCTAACTATTTTTTATGTTGGGATTCTGAGTCTGAACATTTATTAAACTCACACTACAAATCCCCAAACAAGGCATCAGCGTGGCAGAAAAGCCAGAAAAGGATGAATGAAGCTTCCATCTTCCTGACACTGACAGAAAACAGGGAAGTTAAAGAAAAACAGAAATAAATATAAAGATCAGATCAAGTATTTCATACATCACAAACACAAGCAGCCGAGTCAGACTGGGTCCTTAACAGTAGTTCTGGCGATGCCAATCAGAACAGAACAGAACAGAAATCAATGATGCACTGCAATCTGTTGGAAGACAACGTCTTGGTCCCATCACCTAACACTAAACTCAGCAGGTTGAGTATGCATGCATGGCAATCTGGTGGTGCTAGTTTTGCTTACATATAGGCAGACAAAGGAGAGACAAACAAAAAGCAAAGGCCATATGCAGTAGAGCAAAATAAAGACCGTTTTTTGTTTGTTTGTTTTTTTGCTTCCCATTGGAGCTGAAGGAGGCAGGTAAAGTATGAATCTCAACAGGTTTTGGCTTCAGTGCACTCTGCAGAAACAGTAGAGCAATGGGCTACTTTTTGTGCAACAAACCGGCAACCACAGCTGCCCAAAGGTGATGTTTCCTTGAGTTGCTGGTGGTACAAATCCCTCATTCAGCAGTTAACTCTTCTGCAAAGGTATCCCATTTTAAAGAACTGTTGCACAAATTGTTTCCCGGCGCACTACTGTCCCCAGGATGTAATGCTACAGTAGCTATTCACACAAACACAATAACAAAATACACCAAAATACTTTTTGTCTCTGCTTCCTGACATAGGGCTGATTACACGAATCAGCAGACCCCATTAACGGAAACCATAAATAAAAGATTACAATATTAAACGTCTATGATAGGGGGATGATGGGAAATTTAAGAGATGAATATTAGAGGTCATTGTTATTTACAGGTGTTAAATTATTAAAAATGGCTTTTATCAGTTTCTGTGTTCTCTCTTAGTGTTCCTTTTGTGGCCTCGACGAATGGGACCTTTCAGCAGCTTCAAAAGTTGATGATGTCACAGCATTAAGACATCACGGCCTTCAAGGGCAGGTGACATCGTCTTGTCAAGAGTTGATGTTGTCCTGACAGAATTTCCTTCAGGGGTCCTCTGTTGTCTTGAGCAGCTCCATCAGTGCTCCCACAGCTCCAAAGTAACCCTGGAGCAAAAAGACAAGCACATAAATATATCTTATAGGCTTTTATCATGTAACCAACCAGTGGTTTGTTTCTGAGGGTAAATATAATGATTATAATTATTATAAACACATTAAGCAATCGCTTTAATTTAATAAAAGGACAGCCGTTTGCTCACCTCGTGTTCAAGGAAGAGAGCTCTTAGTTGGCCTTTGGACCAGTAGTCCATGGCATAAGCTAGCAGCTTGGTGGACACTGTGTTGATACGGAGGAAGTTCCCAACAAACACCACACGCTCAATTTTCTTATGAGAAAAAGAAGAAAATAATAATTTTAGAGAAACTGAGACCCAACAAACAAGAGTTTAAACAAGTAATTCACAAATTGTTCTGATAATGAAGAAAGGTCATTTCTAAACACTCCTGTCATCTTAGTAATGACTCATAAATAGCTACACATAAAAAATGTTAGGTTATGTTCTCTTTATCAAGAGTTCAGCCAATATACTTAATTTTTAGATCTAATATTTTTATAGGCTTTGAAAATCCTTTATTAGTGTGACACTAAAATTCTTACATATAACCTAACAAGGAATAATGAACTGCAGAGTTCTTATTTTTCTCCGCTCTGTCCCTGGACACGGTCACCAAAGTGATACTAAATCCCAGGTCTTTCATTTGGTGAAATAAAATATTTTAAAGGTAAATGTTTCTTATGACATTGACAGTTAATCCATGCCATGCAAATTTGATTAAAAACTGACTATAATAAAAGGCATATAATCTGCAAATATAGTAATAAAGAAAATATAAATAAAATAAAGGTTCTCTAGCACCACCACATGGTGGTGCTAGAGAACCAATAAACAAACACTGATGAAATCTGGTAGAATACCAAAGACACAAAAATCTTGAAAAACATCCTGCTGTGGTGTATGCAAGTATGTAATTCCTCCTGAAAATTTAGCAGGGTAACTTTGTGTTTGTCGATGTAGCTTAAACAGCACAATTCTTTGCCAATATAATGGTCAAATATAGGACTAAAATCCAGTTATCAAGATTTTTGTTTATGATAAAATGCGGGTCTTAATTTTATTACTAAGGCTTTCAGAAGTCATTTAAAAGAAACCCTCCATAACCCTATATATGCACGTTTTTCTTCGCTGCAGCTCTGCATGCAGTGATAGCCCTGTACAATGCTGCTTGATCGCCATGCCACAAGGCAACACTGTAAAGAAGCTCACAGCATGTAGAAATACTCCAGACTGGTCCTTTACTTCAGCTTTAGCTGCTATGGTTTTGGTTTTTAAATTAATTTTACAGTTGCCTATTAAAACTAATAAATTGTTGTCACATAGTACGAGTAACCCCAATCCCAGAATTGTTTTATAGCTTACAGCTGGCTATTTACAAAATATTACAACATAAGTGTGAAATCTGGTGATTTTGTTTTTGCCAGCAAAAAACCCCCCAAAACATAAGCATGATTTAAAATATAAACAAATCCAGCAACCTTACCAAAAAAAACCCCAAAACTTAAAATTAAGGAATATATTTGGACTTCTAAAAATACAAAAACAAAAAAACTAAACAAAAAAAAAAAGCTCCACCCCCCACCACCATGGACACACACAACAACAAAGAACTTTTCTTTTCTATTGTTAAATAGCTATAGCAAGCCATAAGATGTAACTTTTGAATGTGTTTGTAAAGAACAATTAGTTGATTTTATGTTTTTGGTAATCCTGAGTAGCCAGTAAAGAGTAGTTTAGGTGTAGGAGTGCCGATGGGTGATGCAATGACTAAATTCTGGTCTGGGTGTCTGTTTCTAAGAACTCAAAGAAACTATCTTAGAGGTTTATGAAACAGTAGATAAACTCATGCAAGTATCTGTATTACATAACCTTTATATGGCTGTTATGATTAGCTGGGTATAGTTGACTGATTCAGCATGTGTGTGTGTGTGTGTGTGTGTGTGTACCTCGTTGACTGCACACATGCGTGCTATGGATCCTATGTTATTAGTGATGGTGACCAGAGTGGCTCTGGCCAGGTCTTCCTTACTGATGCTGTCTCGCTTCTCTTTGCTCATCATGTGACCAAAACTATAAAAGAGACCATAAAAAAACCCAACATGTAAAAGACATTTTCCTCAAAGTCTGATTAACTCTTCACATTAAAAAAACCAAACAAACAAAAAACGGAAACAAAAAAAAAAGTGAACCCATAAATTATTTAAAAACCTTTTGAAGCAACTGTCACTGGGTGTTACATGTGTTTTTACAATGCTTTATGGATCAACTTTGGACCCAGAGCTGCAGGTTTACTGTATACATGGTAAATTCAGTTTAACATGAGCACAGTGTGTCTCTGTGTAAAATATTTATAACTAACTGTTCATTTATTGGTATGTTTTTGCTTTTTTTTTGCAATTAAACAATGTCCACACAATTTTGGATAATTTATCCTCTTATCTCATTGTGCTAAATGAGCAATTTATGTGAGCACATAAATCAGAGCTTTTAGCTCACTCATCAAGTTCCAAGGCAATTTCATCCACTTTACACAATTAGATTATTGATTAATCAGGTGTGCATTTTAGTGAGTAAATATCAGTTTAGGTTTTCCAGCTTTTAATCAGATTAAGATTTACTCTAGTGTTGTATCTGCATCTACAACGTGTTTTTTCCCCATTTTATTAATCTTTTATAGTTAAAATTAGGGCTGCTCAATATAACGATATATATCGGATGACGATATAAAAACATTGCTATCGTTTGTTTTGTGGTGTCGCAAAATAAACTGTTTACGGCAATATTTTTTCATCGTTTTGATGGTCACTGTAGTGGCTATATTAATTTCTTAAAGTTCTCTCTTTCTCTTATATTTAATATAACCACGCTACCGATGGACAAGTGCCTGTTTTTTATGCGTTGTCGTTAACAACGACGATGGTAAAACCCTCCATGTCTGCTTATTTATTTTCCACATAAACCTTTCACAATAAAGCTCAAGATCCTGTTGAGACTTTTCAAAATAAACTAAATCACGTGAAAGAGTATGCAGAGTATTTACGGATGAGAAAAAAGAGCCGTCAGGTGCTAAAAAATAAACCTTAGACTCAAACGTTAGAACAGGCTTTTCCCCGCAGCACGCCGTGTAATAAATACTCACAAAGAAAACCGCAGCCGTTACAACTTATGTCTAAAAATGTATAGTATCATGCATCGGTTAAAACATTCGACTCCAGGTACACAACACCCAGCTTGAAACACTTCACGCAAGTCGAGCTGCCCGAGATTCACAGAATTTTCAGAAAATTTTGAATTTTTGTGATTTATATCGTTATCGGACGATAGATGTCTTATATTGGGATATGAGATTTTGGTCATATCGCACAGCCCTAGTTACAATAACCAAATAGTATTTTAACAGTAAACAATGCAGTCCACCACAGATGCAGTGCAGCCAGCTGAAATAAGCTCCTATAACATCTCCTGTGACATCTACAAAAATTACAAGTGTTACATAAACAGTGTCATGTGAAACAGCATAACATTGTGAAAACTACAGTACACTCTTATTGCTTCCACAGAAATAAAGAGCAGACAGACTCTCCTAATCAAATGCAACAGATTAATTTTTTATAAATCATCTGCAGCTGTGATCACCTATATAAAAGCAGATGGTTTGCCAGTTTGCTGTTCTGGAGTGTTCAAGTTTGTTTTAACACACTGCCACAATATTCCTAGGAGTGGACATGCTAGAAACCTAAGAGCTACATCTCAGATTTTACAGGCCTCAGTTAGCATGTTAAAATTCACTACAATAAGAAAAAGACTGAACAAGTAGGTCAAATGTGAGGACATCCGTCTAACATTTAAAACGTGGCCCCAATTTGGACATGCAACTGGACAATGATCCCAAGCAAACAGAACACCTGAGAAATAAAACAATCAAGCTGTTGCAACGGCCCAGTCAAAGTCCAGACTTGGTGGGACAGGCCTCTTAATGTCAAGCAGATAGTCAGAGATAATGCTTACTTCATGTTAGTGCTTCTAAAGCTGGTTCTCCAAGCTACTAAATCATGAAATGCACTTAACTAAAATGTTCAGTTTCACATGAATTCACTGGTTTTCATTATCATGTCAGAAGCGAAGACACCGGACAACCAGACAAATACAAGATGTGCATCCTGGTCAAAGTTCAGTAATACAAACCAAACACAGCTCTGTTCATTGCATCACACTGTTCTATTTATTGTCTATTTTATAGTATGTATACAAACACTCCTGGGATCAGTCTGTATTTCATTGTACCGCTAAAAAACAAAAACAAGAAGCTTTAAATATAGAAAGAAAAAAAAGAGATGTTACCTGGATGCTACAGCAGAGCCCTGTAGACCAAATCGCTCGTAGTCTCCCCCATAGATATCTTTCACCAGTTTGTCCACATTTGTAGAGTCACCTTTGCTAGCCATTTCCAAAGCCTCCTCAAACGTCTCGCAGCCAGTGAGCAGACAGCAAAGCCCCAGGAATGTACCACCTCCCAGACTGAAGGGTGTAAACAACATAAATTATAGATCAAAGAAAAAGAAGGGAGAAAAATGCTACTGAAGTTTAACGAAGCAATTGAAATAGTGTGAACACTTTAACACTGACAGTACACAAAAAATGCCCATATCAACTCCAACCTTGGAACAAATGTCAAGTCCTAGGCCTAGTTTACTATGTTTTTATACTTTTATGTCTTTATTTAAACTCCATATTATTCATTTTATTTTTCTTTGCATCTTTGCATATGCTAGAGAATATTTTTAAACTGGCTATATAAATACATTCGATTAAAATATGCTACAAAATAAACACCTAGTTGGTGCCAGAATAAGTGAGGAGAAACAGAGCCAACACGAGACAGCTGTTTTGAAATAAAATACTTTATACAACATTAATGTATAAAGCCTTTGTGCCTCAACTAGCCCACACTACTCACACCCACAACAAGTGAATTCTGTTTGATCATGTTTCTCTTCCTGGAACAGTGCAATAGATTCAGATGGAGGCTGTACACACAAACACACATAAACACTGATGTCACGGTGAGTAGCTGCAATAAGACACACTTGCCATTTACAGAACAAGGAAGTAAAGAATGACCAGAGGTACACTGCGACAACAGCGACTGGCCATAGTTGAAAAGATTTGTTTATAAGGTCAAATATGATTTCACTGTATTACAGAATACTCAGGAGGCTGAGTAAATCCTAATATCATCAAAGGAAAAAACTCTTTGTACAACACATAATGGGTAGAAGTAACTTCAATTTCTTACAAATGTTTACAGTTCATTCTATGATCATATCTAGTTCTACTACTTTGTAAGTACTAAGGTACACAAGGTGATAATGAATATGACTGTCGCAACTCAAGCAACTGAGTCTGGCATATCTGCTAGATCTACTAAAGCCATAAAAGTGCCACCTTCACCTTTTGCACATACTCTTGAAAAATACTTCTCATGCAGAACTTCATGTTCAAAGAACACGGATGTAGGGCTTAAGAGGAGTTCACCACAACAACAAACAGCTGTAATCCTTCTGTTGTTTATTAGGTTGGAAATCACTTGGTTGAAACAGCACCTATTTTCTATCACTGGCACTTTTTCTTCCATAAATTTTGCTTCAAACAATGAGTTTATTTCACAGCCGGGTTATAGAAACATTTTTTTAACAAGTTTGTTAATGTGAAGAATAATGTGTATATTCTATTATTGAGTGAAAAATAAAAATAAACACTTTTTAATTATCTTAAAACTTATCTAATTTGAATTTTCAAAAATTATATTCATATTATTATATTCTTCCACTCTGCTTATAAATATTCTGTGTGCACCATTAAAGAGGTTCCCATTCTCCTCACCTGGTACCAGTCACCCGTTTGTAGTTGTTCTCTGAGTACACAGCCAGTATGGAGACTCCTGAGCCAATGTTGACCAGCAACATAGGAAAGGGGTTGTCCAAAGTGCAGGGCTTCTTCACACAGCTCTGGGTGTCTGATGGGTTCTGGAAGTAGTAGCACTCAGGGTGTCCGTTGAAGCCTACCCGATCGACAAACAGCAGACCACGAATCAAGCAGTCTAGCTCGTCCAGCTTAAGCAGCTCCAGGTCAGCCATCTGCTCACAAATGTAGGAGGTTTAAAACATTGATAAGGCACTACTTTATCTGCTAAATTGTTCCTGATTATTTAAAGTAAAACATTCCTTGAAACCCTTGATTTGTCAGTTGTATAGTATTAAAATGACTTTCAAAACCTCACTGAAAATGGTCTTTAAAAATTAAAAAGTTCCTTATCCAAATGCAGACTAGACTATCAACATTCCTATAAAAGTATACAATGTGGATTACTGTAAATTGGCATGATGGTAACGGCGTAAAAATTAAGAAGAAAACTGGTTGCTTGTAGAAAATAGTAGAGCCCAAGAACTATGGGCTATGACTTTTAGAGATAAAGAAAAAAAACATGAGTGTAGACGTGAGACATTAAAATATTTTAAAACACATTGGGGTTGAATTGATGACATTTAGCACAGTTTGTGCAGTGTCAGAGATTTCACTGATCCTGCTGAAGTGCAGACATGGTCAATGAACCTAGGTAAAAGGGTACTGTGAGGGAAGGCAAGAATTTCTGATGAAATTACATTGAAACACGATTCTGTAAACAAATGACTTAGATTTTTTGCACTTTTTGTCCCATTTATTCATCTATTAACCATTTTCTTGATTGTTTATCTAGAGTTTGAATTAACATATCAAAAATGGGCACCAAAGACAAAAAAAAAAAAAAGGCCCCTTCTGAAACCCTATATGCCACAAACTGATATTGACCTCCCTAGAAATGTAAATTCCCTTTGCTTGTTCTGTACAGGTGGTTACTCCTGTGTATTTCCAGCTACTTTTTCACTGCAACTTTTGAATGGATCAGTGAGAGACTAAAAGTCACCTCAATATAAGAAATAATCAAAACCTCAATAAAAGTAGTCACGACTACCAGCAAACTCCTGGAGAGAGACTGCTGAAACTATCAGAATGGACAAAGATGTAGAAAAATGGCATGCATTTTCAATTTCTCTTTGCTATTTGGGCTGATTGGGACCTGATGAATGTAAAAACAAAGAATTACCTGATTTTTTCTTTTTAACCTGATTTTTGTTTCTAAGAAAAATGAGATCCACATAAGAGGACATTCGTTTTAAATTTTGATAGAACAGTGGCAGTATAATGTCCTCGTAAGTGGATATCAGGCCCTTGTAGAGCAAAATTTAGTATTTTGGTCTTGACAACCAAAAATGTGATGTTCACATATGTGGACGCCAGGTCCTAGGAGGTAAAAAAAAACAAAAAAACAAATACTGTAAAATACTAGGACATGACCAAAATGTAATTAACACTTATTGCACCACGCAAAGTATGAATCCTTGCAATAGTGCTGGTTGCTTGCATTGGTTACGTCGTGGGCTGTATAAAGAGTCACTGCACAAAACTCTAAATCTGCCGTTATTTGCAAAGGTTAACCACCGTGAATTAATCTGTATATTTGAATTGACACAGATTTTCAGACATGAAGGATTTGTGTCTCCTCCCAATCTTGCACTGGGGAACTTTAACATGTTAGGCGAATGTGGTAACCACTACACCACATATCTATTTTCAATCAACTAAGTATTTGATTAATCAACTATTCACTGTAATTATGTCACAATGTTTAATCAGTACCACTGATACTGAGATGTTATCTCTGTATATACTGCACACTCACCATTCTGAACTCATTCTCAAACTTGTAAGCCCCGCCTCCAGTGGCACAGAGTGTTGTGTGCAAGCTAGAGAAGTTCTTATCCCGTCCCATCTGAATAAAGCGGGGCATGGCCTGTGTTGGGAAGCGAATGAAGTGCAGGTTTCCTGTCCTGCCGCACATGGTCATATTCCTCAGCTCCAGGTGAACGTCACGGACACCTGTTTTACCTGAATAAGGAAAGAATAATTTTACCATATGGTATTGCCTCCTGATTTGTGTTATGCTTTTAATTTCTTTTGAACACTCAAGTGACCCAAAAGCTGAATTTGAAGCTGATAACAAAATTCATCTCATAAATTGTAAAACTGTAAAATATATCAGTGAGAGATACCTATATCCATCTGCATGTGTAAATAGTCATACCATAGGCAACGTTTGAGGTGAGGTAGCGGCGGATTGACTTGAGGTTTTCCACTTCCTCCTGTTCTTCCTCTGCAGTTATATCGACTGGCTCAAAGTACACCAACTTGACCAAAGTCCCACCAATGTCCATACCAAACCAGGGGAAGGCTAGAGAAGGTAATGGAAAAGACAAGTAAACTGTTACTTTAAAAAGGAAAACAAGACATTATGCAGACATTTTTGCATAACATATTGAATTCTGGTTGTTATGCTAATAAAAAATAAATACAGGCCTATTTCCTTTGCAAATGATAAGGACATACCCCTGAACCATGATGTGCTCTAGACCAAAGCTGCATGAAATAAGCACCAGAGACTCAGAGTAATAATCCTTAATAGAAATCTATGGAAGAACTCAATAACGGCAAGGCATTTATCCCCCAATCCCTTTGCCAAAAGCCAATTAAAAGCTAAAGCAGGAAACATATGAGCCAACTGTGTTGCTGCACAGATACATGCAGTTGTGAATCATAACACTTTCAACTGTGATGTGATCATTATTATCCAAGTCTATGGATATCATAATAAAGGAATGAATAAAGGAAATGAAGCAAATTCCAGTAATTCTATCAATGGAGTTTATTACTAATGTCTCCCCGTTCATTTAGATAGGAGTTGCAAAATAACTGCCCAAAGGCAGTTACGATGTCCAAATTGCCAAGACAGTAATCTTGCTTCCAGGATGGTTTTAGTAGGAACACTGTACATCGAATGCTGCAAAAAAACAACAACACTCGAGCAAGGGGAAACAATCTGGACTTGATATTTTTGGGTAGAACACTGAGTTCAGCACAAAAAAATGAAAATCTTCCAGCACCACTGGCTAGGAAAAAAAGCTACCACAGCACAACAAGATTGCCATAGAAACAGTTACCACTCCCCATCATCTCCTGTTCGCTCGGTATCTCATACACTGTTCAGCCTCCTATTTTCTCTTTCCCTTAGCTTCTCCTCTCCTCTCCACCTCTCAGCCTTTATCACAGTCTCATACACACCATCCATCTTCCTTTCTCGACCTTTCCCACTTCCTCCCCTCCTCCATCTCCATCAGCATTCTCTCATTTGGAGTTTCTTGCCTTTCACCACACATTTTTCCTTTTTGTCCTTTCAGCTTTTTATTTTAGTGAACACCATCTTCTTCCAGCTTCATTCTCTTCCACTCCTCCTTATAGCTTTCCCTTGTTTCTCATCTGTCAGTCACTTTAATTAAATTAACATTTACATGGCCAGGATGACATAAGTGATACTGCAGGATGTTTTTAATTCACCACAAAGCAACGGATATTTGCCTGCAAAAACAATACATCAAATTGTATTCTTATTGATTTTTCTCAAGACATACAAAATGTATTTCTATTTTTAGAAGCTAACTGCATTGGCACTTCAGCAAAGAGAAAAGTTCTGGTTGAAATTTTGGTAAGAATGGTTTGATAACAAAATGAGGTTACACAAAGCTAAATGAGAGGAAAAACACTCGGCATACCTCAAGTTTAGTTTTAAGGTTTTGCTGCGCTGTAGAGAGGCAAGACAAATATGAAAAGGAAGGTTTCGCACATGACATTTAATACTGGCTGTATCATTTAGTGTGTAGTTGGGAACAATGGAAACCATGTGCTAGTGTTCAAGACAACCATGCTCACTTAAACTGTGTTGCTGTGGAAGGCAGCATTGAACAAAAGAATGTGTTGAAGCCAACCATTTAGTACATAACTGGTAAACAGCACACTGAGACAATATATAATGTCTTTCACATGTAAAAAAATCCTACAGAAACACAGATGACAAATGAAGCATGCTTCTATAACCCCTCGGCTGATCAGTTTATTATGAGATGTATGACCCAAACATTGACACTTGTGATGTGTCCTTACTTTATACATCAGCTTGATTTCCATTCTGAGCAATATATATTTCCCTGTAAATATAGAATAAGCAATTCAAGACTCCAGGCGTATAAACTTGGATTTGGTTCACTGAATACTGTTAGATGCTAAGAACACATTTTATTTTAAACCTTCAATGAGAGTAAATGTTGATCAGTAAGCTTCTCTACTGAAGCAGCTACCTCTGAATAGAAGTTCAGCATATGATTAATCACTTAACTGTAAAAAGAATGTGTCCCTGCAGTCATCAGTTTCCTATCAATTTCAAAAACTCTCAATAATAACACAAAGAATAAATAGTAAATACAACATTCATAAATAATTCATTAATTAACTGTTTCAAATCCAAGTAAATCAGACTTAGAACATTGATATATTTGACTCTTTACCTTCATGACAGTAGTAGTTAAACACTGAACTAATTTACCACCATTTGGACTTCAAAAGGTCAGCATGTGACTGTTCACTGCCCTCTCTGCGCCTTTACTGTGGCCCTTGCATGATGATCAAAGTGACTATTTCACAACTGACCAGTGAAGGGAACAGACTGAATGTCTGGCTTACTGAGGCAAAGTCCACTTTCAGCTAAGCTGAGGATTCCACTTCAGAGGATGATCACTTGTAAACACATACTTTATGATTTGTTAGCAATTAGTGTTAGCAACACAAGCATATGCACATGTGACCCTTGATCTAATGTTTATGGTAAATTATGTCAAACTGACATACTATACAGACAAAAGTATTGGGCCAAATGTCTTAATCTTTGAATTCAGGTGTTTTAAATCCACAGGTTTTATACACAGGTGTATAAAATTAGGCACCTAACAACGTAGTCTGCCTTTAAAAATGTTTGAGAAAGAATGTGTCGTTCTAAAGAGCTCACTGAATTCGAGTGTGGTACTGTAACAGGATGCCAAGATTGCAAAAACTAAGTTTGCTGCATGTCTTCCCTTGTAAAAATTCCACAATCAACTGTAAGTGGTATTATTGCAAAGTGCTAGGGTTTAGGAACCACAGCAACTCAGCCACAAAATGGCAGACCATAAAGACTTACAGAACAGGGTTGCTGTGAGCTGAGGATCTTAGTGTGTAAAAGTCACGAGTGCTCTGCTGACTCAATAACTATAGGGTTCCAAACCACCCTCTCAGAGTAAACATCAGCACAAAAACTGTGCACCAAGACTTCGTGGAATGGTTTTGGCCAAGCAGATCCTGTAGGGGGATGTGTCCTTATACGATACTGTTTACGGTTTGTCAGAAAAGTGAATGCGCAACAGTAACTTCAGTATTAATCTCTTTAGTATAACATCTCACTTTTGATGAAACTACGTCACAGTCTCCACTTTTACACCTACTAAAATCTACTTTCTTTTGAACACATAAAGGATAGGCTTTGTAAATGATATACCACTAATATTGCTTTTAATGTCAGCAAACTGTCATAACCAAAGGTTACTCAGGTTTCACATTATTTTTAATATCTATAAAATGATTTGCACAGAAGAATGTAAACTCGTGCAATACTTTTACACCTTTGTCTATTGAAAACTGAGCTAACTAATAGGAACCAAAACCAACTCTATGACTTTTAGCCCTGTTAAGGTTATCTGTTGATAACCCAACGCTACACCTGCTCCAACTCCACTACAGTGGCTAATGCCTTTCAGTCACCCACCACATTGTCTAGTGCACTTTTTTGCCACTGTGCCCTCTTACCCAGTGACCTTCTCTCATGTCTGTAAATAAGAACTGACAGACATTGATTTTCCAATGCCTGCTGTGGAAATCTCACCTGCTAGATTTTTAACTCAAACATCCCTCTTGTTGAGTGTGACACTAATGATTCTTAGATTCATTACTATCATTTTATCCTGCCAAACAAAGAGAATTTTTTTTTCTTTTTCTGGTTTTTTAATAAAGGAAATACATGCTTATAATAGAGACAGCAGCTCTCACCACTGAGATCAAGATTAATGGTTTAAAAGAGAAAGTAAAATTGCACAAGTATTATGGATTGTTACTAGCATTTCTGCCTTCCACCTTCGAAGAAATGAACCCACTCTGACAAAATGAAAGCTAGCCAGCCAGGGTAGATGACAGGGTCTGTCTCAAGTGACAGTCATGTTTTTCTCCATAATCCCAGCCAAAAAACAAACTCACAAGCAGTACATGACATTATTCAAATTCAGAATTTAAATTTATACAAACAAACATATTTATTTAACATTACACTGTAAAAATCATGAATTCCTCCCTGAGATAAAATTAAATTTTATCAATTTTGAGCTGCTTGGAGACTCTAACTATGTTAACATCACTGCTGTGACTTTTTATTGATCTGTGTGAAAACTACAAACTTCTTGTTTCCCTTTTTAGGGTTTTATGTTGTCATTGTGGAAATTCTTTAAACTACATTTAAGCCACAATAATAATGTTAGTAAGGAAGATGTCAGTTATGGTTCAGATGGTACAGCAGAGTGTCCACTAATTGCAAGCTTGGTGTTTCAAGCTCCAGCCCCTTCTGCTGATGTCATATGTCACTGACATCAGCAGCACTGAAATTGCTTGGCCCATTACATGGGCAGCCAAGTATCAGGCACAGCGCCTGCAACACTGGTGTTTGCCTTGAACAAGAGGCAAAAATCACAAATACATTGTAAGAGAAAACTGTAACCCTGTTTTGAAGCCTGTTGGCGATAATGTACAAAATGTAATGCCAAAATGCAATAATTGAAAATGACTTTGTCATTAAGACAAGATATTAAATGTTGAAAATGAGAAGTTGTGGCTTCCATTTGATTACATGATACTGCATTGCATTTATTTAACAAAACTAACTATTTGGGAACTGATTTGACCAATTTTCTTTCTTAATAAAGGATATGAGCTGCTCAGCAGTTCAGTTATACTTTTCATTTTGTAATGCTTTCAATAAGTGACAGGTCTACATTTCCAGCCGCAGTCTTTTATGAAAGATCCATGCTGTTGTATTACATGGAGAATTTAGTGTGGCATTATTCTTCTAAATAAGCCCTTTCTTGAAGAAGACACTGTTCCATAAAATATAAAATATTGTTCAGCATTAATGAAGCCTTCACAAATGTGCAAATTATCCGTACTATTTGACGCCTCATTCAGTCAGAAGTACTAGCTTTTCAACTTCAAGCTGATCACAAGTAGGAAAGGTCCCTCTACCCCTGGCCCAAAAAAACACAGCATCCA